CCGAAGAGCATATAAATGCACTCAAGGCGTTTTGCTGGTCATGAATGAGTGCCATGCTAAGAATTGCCGCAGTTCTTCCTCTTCTTCTTCTTCTTGTCGCCTATTGCTCGGGTACGTACTCATTCCTTCATTTCCACTTCATTTCCTACTCTTGATGTCACCGTGTACTGTAATACCAGGCTTGTATTAATAATAAATACAGCCCATTTTGAGTGGGCCACTTTCGCAGGGCAAATCATTGGAAGTGGCATTAGCGCTCACATTTGGTCACAAAAAAGCGTGTTGCCAGACAAGTACGAATCCGAGTTCGACAATTGGGGTAGGCGCGAAATGGCATCCATAGAACTGGGTAAAGTGACAGCACGACTTTCACATGCAGGTGCAAATCATCACAGCTCATCACCTCGGGTGATGATGGATGGCGCAATGGACGATGCGCAAGTCGGGTGAGAAAGCGTCCCAACTCTAGGATTAAGGCATTGTCATTGCCTCCATTGTGGGTGTCGCGATCCGACGCTAGTGAAATTAGGAGGTACGAGAAGAGAGGCATTTGTTTTAAGGGCGGGAGATCCAACAGCCATAATTGCATTCTAGGCATTTCCTTTGATAACTCTTTCAAATAAGTGCATTTTATGTAGAGATGAGCTGTCTACTTTTCAACGGATGCATGCAGATGCCATAAGGCTGTTATCATTCGCTCACACAACTGTCCTAGGCATTTGTGTAAATGCATTTGTCGTAATGTGAATACTTGTTTGCACCTGAAAAGATGCGGATCCGCTGATATGGGGTTCTCGGATCATTGGAACACCAATGGGACGATCGCCACCAATGCATTTCCGTTTTCCCGGAAAAGCTGTATGTAATGAACATTTGTATTAATTTACGCACACTTCCAATGAGGTGATAGACGACTTCTGCTCTGCCACTTAGAGTTCCAAACTCACATCACACTTGTCATTCTTTTTCGAAATGATATGGGCAGGCAGGGCAGAAGATGCTATCATCCCGTGTCATCGCTACCGTACCCACGCCTCAAATGCTATAGTGTGGGTCATTTTAATTAATTTTAGCTTATAGTGGCGCTGATGCCAGACGGAACTTTGCGCCAAATGAGCATTATAAGTGGTTCCTGTTATGTTGACAGTGAAGTCGTCGGTAGACCTTGCCAAATGACTGAACGTAAGTTAATCTCTCCC